TACTAGATTAATCCACTGATTGATTTGGCATAGTTCTAGGAGTGGATAATGGAAGGCCCTCCCTGGGTGTGAGTGGGACAGAATATAAAGGACAGAAAGAGAGCTGTTGGGGTCACTTGTTGCTTGCTGCTTGCTACTTCACTGTTGTCTGCCTTCTACCTGCCCTGCTTTGCCTTGGACTGTGTGTTATATTTCTCTCATTGCTGAGACAAAATACCCAGCACCCGAAGTTAAAGGGGGAAAGGTTTATTTTCATATAATTTGTAGAGATTTGTGTGTGTGTGTGTGTGTGTGTGTGTGTCTCAGCAATGAGAAGAGTAATTAAAACACCATCAGGGATTTATTTTTCTCACTGTAGAATGTGATTAATAATAGTACCTTCTTCATAGGTCTGTTGTATGAATTACAAATGAGTTAATTTATATAAAGAACCTAAAACAGTGGTAAGCACATTTGTAGGGTCCATTTAAGATAGTCATTATATGGGTCAGGGATTTAGCTCAGTGGTGCTGCCACCTGCCTCAAAATAGTCACTGTTGTGATGATGGTGCTGTCTTGTGTAATCCGTACAGTAATTCAGAGACTGATAGGTTTTTTCTTCTGTTATTAGATTATTACTCTCATCAGTGATTATTGCAACATTTGAATAGTATGTACAGTAGTACCTTGGTAAATGGACTTAATTCTTTCCATGATTCTGGTTGCAAACCACATTGGATGAGAACCAAATCAAGTTTCCCCAAAGGTCAACATTGAACCTAACCACTGAATTTGATTTAGTTCTCCTTCATTTCATTTTGAGACCAGAATTGTGGAAAGCATTAAGTTTGTGAACCGAGGTACCACTGTAATTAAAAAGATACTGTTTTTGGATCTTTCCTACTCCCACTTTGAGATTTCTGTCCAATTCCTTCTGACACATACTGTATCTCACTTAGAGTTTTCTTACCTCTATTTCCTAGAGTTATACCCTAAGGAAACCTTTATAAAAATGTAACCAGTTAACCTGTCCTAGGTAGCTACAATGGTACTAGGAATGTAGCATCCTTATACCAAATGGGAAACTAGTCCTTCAGATGATTTTCTGTGGGTCAGATGAAGAACCCTAGTAATCAAAGGATTAGGACATGTTGGCTGCTATGTTTTATGGCAGTCAGTAATGGCACTGCTTTTATCTATTTCTCAAGGTCTGTGTATCTTTTTTACTTTTCTATAACCTTATCTTTAAGCATCTGACACTTAGATGTAAATAAATAATGGCATTTGCTAAGTGACTTTTCTGTTTAAGAATCATTTTCTACATTGAAATCTATATTTTCTTTTACACATTGTAAAGTTTTGTCTTTCACTTTCAAGAATCAGTTTTTCTGGTTGGTATGATTTAAAGAGATTTGGTTTAAGATTTTCTTATTTCTACTTTCAGTTTCTCACACCAGAGAAACAATGGAAATAAGGACTAAAATGTATAATAGATACTGGAACATGGGAAAAAAATGTTCAGATGAGAAGAGGAACAAGGGAAGGGGAAAGAAGGGAGAGGAAGTGAAAAGAAAAAGAAAAAATGAAAACAAAGCTTTTGTACTAGTGAGGGGAGGGGGAATGGGAAAAAAAGAGGCAGGATGTATCATGTACATGTGCAAATTCTCTGATGAGTGCTCTGTTTGCCTAAAAGTACCAATAAATGTTTTGCTATTAAAAAAATATTTTCTCCCATATACATATACCAAACCTCAGATGCTGAGTAAGTTCTCTTTTCCCCGTTTTAATTTCCTTGCATTTTTTTTCAGTATATACTTAGAGCTCTGTCTAAATTTTCTTTTTTGTTCCTTTGAAATCTTTGTCTATCCTTGCATCAGTACCAGATTCTTTATTTTAATTTTGTAATAATTCATGATACTAATGGGTAAGTTCTTTTAAATTCTTATAATGTTCTCTTTTTCATTATGCTTCCTTTTATTTCTTTGTTTTTTTTAACTAGGGATTGAACTCAAGACCTTGCACTTGCCAGGTACCTGCACAGTGCCACTGAGCTATATCCCTGGTCCTCTTCCAAATGTTTTTAAGAGGGCTGGGGACTTAACTCAGTGGTTCTGCCACCTGCCTTGCAAGTGCAAGGTCCTAAATTTGATCCTGGGTACTTTAAAAAAAAAAAAAAAAAGCTTCTGCAACAACAAGAGAAAACCAAATGTTTTTAAGAATCAGCTAGTAACATTCCTTGAAAAACTGTTAGCTGGGCGTGGTGGCGCACACCTGTAATCCCAGCACTCAGGAGGCTGAGGCAGGAGGATCACTGTGAGTTCGAGACCAGCCTGGGCTACGTAGTGAGTTCCAGGTCAGTCTCAACTACATAGCGAGACCCTCTGTTTCAAAAAAACAACAAAAAAGAAGAACTGTTAGGAAAGAATTTACATCTTCATCTTATCATTCATTCATTGTTCTCTAAATATTAATGGTGTACATTCTGTATACTGGGAATATAGCAATTAATACAGCTTAGAAATATTCCTAGATTCATGCAACTTACATGCATTGTAGTGGGAGAAAGACCATAAACAAGATAAACAAGTAATAAATTATACACTCTATTCATAAAAACTTTATAGCCAAAAACCAGGAATAATTTACATGTCCATATTAACTGGTATATCATGTGATAGACTACTACTCAGCAATGAAAAGGAACAAAAGGAAAAAGCTCCTTATATATGCAACAACACGTGAATTTCTAAAATGTCGAATTACGTGTAAAATGTCAAATATAATAGATCTCATATGATTCCATGTGAAATTATTATGAAATAGCAACAAAACCATCATGAGTTGGTTGGGGCATGAGATGGGAATAAGGATTAATTATAAAAAGTATGAGGAAATTCATGGGGTGATGGAAATATTTTCAGATCCAATTGTGATGATGGTTGCATGAGTGTACAGATTTATTAAACTTATTTGTATACTCAAAATGAGTAAAGTTTTTGTTACATAAATTATATCTCAGGCTGGATGTGGTGGCACATGCCTGTAATCCCAGCACTAGGACAGCTGAGGCAAGGAAGATCACCAGGTGTTCAAGTTCAGCCTGAATTACAAAGGGAGACCCTGTCTCAAAACCACTCCCCCAAACTTTTATATAGAGCTCAGTAAATCTATTTAAATAATTATATGCCATTGTTGAAAACATTACGCTAAATGAAAGGAGCCAGTCACAAAAAGCCACATGTTGTATGATTCCACTTATATAAAATGTTCAGAGCAGACAAATTCATAAAGTTAAAAAGCAGAGCAGCAGTTAGTTCCCCAGGGCAGAGGAGGATGTGGAGGGCTGGGAGGGAAATGGAAAGTGATTTGCTAATGGGCACAGGGTATCTCTTTTGACTTGATGAAATGTTCCACAATGGCTTGAGGTGATGATAGCACAATTCCCTAAATACATTGAACACCACTAAATTATGTGCTTTAAATGGGTGAATTGTGAATCTTATCAGTTACAGAAAATAAACAAAATGTGCTACATTTGGGGGAAGATTAGGAGTTGGGTGGGGAGGCAATAGTGATGGTGGTCAGGGCACCTCACTGAGAAGGCAGCAGCTGAGCAAAGCCATGAAAGAGGTGAGACGCTGGGTCCCCGAGGGAAGAAGCTACTACAAGGATACTCCGTGGAAGATCCCGAGAGGGTGCAGGACTGCTCTGCTTGAGGAGCAGCAAAGATGCCAGCATGGCTGGAGTAGCGGGAGGAAGCAGCAGCAGTAGGAAATGCAGGTGGGTGATGGGATCGCCTAGGGGACTTATCAGAATTTTAGTTTTTTCATTGAGATGGAGAGGCAATGCAGGATTTCAAATAGAGAAGTGACCTGGTTTAACAAAAGTTTTTTGGTTTTGTTTGTTGGCTTCTTGTACTTTGTTTCACTTTTTAAATATATTTTTATTTTTAATTGATGTATTAATCATACACATATTCATTGGGTACATTTCAGTACATGGACACAATGTGTAATGAGCAGATTAGGATAATTGTCAGATCAGTAACCTCAGACCTACATCATTTCTTTATGCTGAGAAAGTTTAAAATCTCTACCAGCTATTTTTGTTTGCGACCAGTTATCCTATTGTGCTGTAGAATGTTAGAAGTTCTTTTCCTACTCAGCTGCATGCCATTACCTTCTCCCCATCCCTTTCACCCCTGCACTTTCCTGGGCTCTGATAACTACTGTTGCCTACTTCTGAGACCACCTTCTTCAAGTTTTCATAAGTGAGAACATGTGATACTTGACATAGGCTTTCAGTAGTGACTGAGGTGCTGAAAATACACAAAAAGGAAGCGTGAGTGGAATCAGGTTCATTAGTTAGAAGACAGCAGTCCCGGGGAGAGATGAACTGACTTACATCAGCACTAGAAAAAACAATGGTTTGTTTCTGAATAACATTTGAAGGAACCTGTAATCCCAGCACTTGGGAGGCTGAGGCAGGAGGATCGCTGTGAGTTCAAGACCAGCCTGGGCTACCTAATGAGTTCCAGTTCAGTCCCAACTACACAGTGAGACCCTGTCTCAAAAAAACAACAACTAAAAAAACCCAAACAACAACAACAACAAAAAAAAAAACATTTGAAGGAAGTAACAGCAGAGTTGGCTGACAGGTTGGAGATAAAATATGGGAAAATGGGGAGTCAAAGAAGATGCTATGTTTTCTTGACCAGAGGAACAGGGGAGGGGATTGAGGTTAAGCCAGATTTTGAGGGAAATGCTACGAGTTCTGTTTTCAACATGTCAAGAAGCCCAGACATCCAAGTACCTCTCTGAGTAAGCAAATTGAATATCTTAATCTGGACTCTTAAGGACTCGATCTTTAAGTAAAGATTGTGTGTAAAGCTATGTGTGCTCTTGTCCACCAACACTTTGTATTAATGAGACTTTACTTTCCCTTGTTAGACGTAAAAAGTAACCTCTCCCTACCCACACACACACACAAAAAAAAAACCTGTTAATTTTCTCATATTTCAGGATCTTCAAGATGAAGTTCAAAGGGAGAATGTTAACCTCCAAAAACTACAGGCCCAGAAGCAGCAAGTGCAGGAAATCCTCGATGAACTGGATGAGCAGAAAGCCCAGCTAGAGGAGCAACTCAAAGAAGTTAGAAAGAAATGTGCTGAGGAGGCCCAGTTGGTAATGTCAGGGTGTTTCCTGCTACCTGTGTCTGTCCCTTAGTTGCTTTTACTGGCTTAAGATGGAAAACATCTCTACTTTTTGTTGTTGCCCTTAGGTGGCTGTCTAGTCAGCAGTTGGCCATAGAAGAGATAGGGGTCAGGTTCATCAGAAATTTCGGACTCCCTTTAGTAGAAATAGGACACTTTTAGAAAGACAAAACTTTTCCAAGTTTTGTTTGAAGTGTGGTATCTGTGCCTTCAACGTTCCCCTCTCTTCCCTAGTTACCCTTCTCTACCAAAAACATACATTGAAAACAGCAAACTAAACAAATACATGTATTGCATTATCAAACATTTTAATTGTATCTCTCCTTTTAATCCCTCTTTCTTCTTATTATCTTCTATATTGCAGATCTCATCTTTGAAAGCTGAAATAACTAGTCAGGAATCACAGATCTCTACTTATGAGGAAGAACTGGCCAAAGCTAGAGAAGAGCTGAGCCGCCTCCAACAAGAAACGGCTGAATTGGAGGAGAGTGTGGAGTCAGGAAAGGCTCAGCTGGAACCTCTTCAACAGCACCTGCAAGATTCACAGCAGGAAATCAGTTCAGTAAGTTTTTGTGAAGCAGAGAATATGCCCAAATGGGCCCTCATCTGTCTGTCTTGTTTGTAGGACTCCCTAGCTTCTCCCTTGGCCTAGTTTATTATTCATTTTGTAGCATTTTATGCAAGGCTTCTTTGTCATCAGTTTTATACCATGCATCTTATACATCTGGTGATTACTGTAGTTACGTGTGGGCTTTGTGTTTAGATGGTCTGGGTTTAAGTGCCAGTTCTTCCGTTTGCTAGGTTAATCACATTAGTATCAGGTTTTTCATCTGTAAAATTAAGAGAATTAAAAAGCCAAGCATGGTGACGCATGCTTGTAATCCTAACACTTGGGAGACAACTTCAAGGCCAGTCTGAGCTATATAGCAAGACTTCCTCTCAGAACAACAACATACAATATAAATAGATAAAATTACAATTAATTTGGAGAATTAGCAACACCTTTACTTCTTAGGACTACTGGGAGGATGAAATGAGGCAAAACTTGAGATATTTTAGTACAGTGTTTGGTACATAAAAGTGTTGCTTATTTTTACAAATAATAATCTAGTGTTTTCTGTGATCATTTTGTTTTTAAGTGTATTTTTGCTTTATGTATTCTGTGAGCTTGTCAAGTATCTTATTGATCTGAGTTTTGTTTTGTTTTGTTTTTCTGTGCTGGGGATTGAACTCAGGATCTTGTGATGCTAGGCAGGCGTGGTGCCACTAAGATACATCCCCAGCCCCTGTTTTCTTTTTAATCTCATCATTTCAAGTAAGTCAGCTGTATGACTTTTGATTTGATATCCCCTGGATTTGCTTTGGGGGGTGGGAGTTTTTGAAGGCATTCTTTTGCCTTGTCTTATGTTTCTTGGTTGTTGTTTTTTGTTTTTTGAGGGTTTTTTTAGTGGGGAGGTTTGTGGGTTGATTATAGTGGGAAGACTATTGCTAATATGGAGACCTCTTTATAATTATTGTCTGCTTCTCATTGAGGCACTGTCGGTATAACTAACTATATAGGCCTTTGCCTCTGTCCCAAAATCCAATTGCCTCAGTTAATTTGGGAAGGGAGGCTGTAGTGTAATTAGCCTAGTACCCAATTCTCCAGGAAAGGGCCACAGTATCATTAATGACACAGGTTAAATATTGACATACAGAGAAAACCAGTTAATAGCAACAACTCTGCCACCCTGGCAAAAGCAATAAATTTAGCAATAATAATAGTATCAAAGAGAAACTGGGTATTGGCATACCCTGAGAACCAATGATGTACCATTGTTAACCATAGAAAAGAGATTTACAATTGTAGTATAAAAACTCTTAAGACAAACCAGAGTTTTTTTAGTACCAGTGATCGAACTCAGGCCTTTGCACTTTCTAGGCAGGCAGTAGAACCACTGAGCTAAATCTCTGGCCCAAGACAAACCAGATAATTGACATTTGATAAATATCTACTAAATGCAACCACCACCTCCATTACCAAGAGTATTCAACAATAGTAATGTAGAGTTAGCTAACTGTGTAAAGATTAATAAAGATTAGTGTTTATACTAGTAAAGAGTAAGAGGATGGGATATGGGAAAATGAAAAAAAGTAAAATTTGAGAAATTAATAAAAGATGAGGAGAGAAAAGTTAGATAAAAGGTCTTATTTAGGTATAAAAGGATATTAATAGAATTAGATAAAAGTAGCAGAAAAGAACCAGAAAAAGAAGGAAAAAGAAAAAAACAGCAAAAAAAGAAAAAAAAAATTAAAAGAAAAAAGTGAGAGGGAACCCAAATCCTTATGAACCAATAAGAAAAATAAGTAAATAAATAAATGAGTAAAAAAATATTCCTGTACTTTTGAGTGCATCTTTTCTTTCCAGACTCTCTAGTCTACAGTCTTGGAATCCAGCATTTATGGGGAAAGGATAGTGAGTCACTGCTAATACCTATTTCGTTTCCACACTTATGTGTTTATATGTGCATGCTGGATCTTCGCCCACCTTTCCCACTGGACATAGGCAGTCTTTCCTATCCAGTGAAGGGTGTAGTTACGCCAGCAGTTCCCACTTCTGTGTCCTTCTTTTCCTAGCTTTATGGCCTGTTGGTTTGTGGGGTGTCCCCTTGTTCCAGAGGCCACTCTGTCCACACACCACAGCCGTGGCAACTGTCAAAGCCAAGCCATTTCTTTGCTCATGTTGGTAGATGAGGAAAGCAAACCAGAATACTGAATTGTGTCGTGGACAGTGGGGGACAAGGAGCTGTCAAGCAGTTTTCTGGACTTAATACCAGCACTTTCTCTCCCAGCTTCTGGAAGGCACACATTCCTGGCCTGGCTTCTCACCACAGAGGGCAGGGTGCCCATGTCTCTTCCAGATTGGGCTTATTCATCTCATGGTTCTCTTGTGGCCATCTGCCGCTTAGTCACTGTGGCAAGGTGACACCAGAATCTGAAGTGTAGCTGCTGTGCAGTTGCTGAGTGGCTCAGACTCAAACCAAGTAAACCCTTCCTGAAATGGCTCCTGAGTAAACTCTTTCAGTTATGGCAGATGCTGCCCCTCACATCCTTCCCAACTCCAGCCTGCCTTCCAGAAGGAGTTTCAGAGTAAAACACTATGCTGTTTTTGCAGTTGGTAATAGCCATGTGCTTCTCTTGGGACCATCACTGCCATCCTTGTGCGCTGTGTCCCTCTCTGGGTTGGTACTGCAGTGTGTTTGGCCCTTGTATATACGTTGTACACCGTTTACATAGACTTTTGTGTTTTAAAGTGTTCTTTCAGATTTATCTTTGGAGCCACAAAACAGTCATCTGTGGAATGACTATTACTCCTTCTGTGAGTTAAAAAAAGTAGAAGCTTGAAGTTTTGCTTTAACTAAGATCACTCAAGGGCCAGGAATTCAGCTCAGTTGTTCCTCCGACTGCCTCACAAGTGCAAGGTCCTGAGTTTGATCCCCTGTACCAAAAAGAAAAGAAAAGAAAAATCACTCAAATAGCAGAAGGTGACAGAACTAGATGTATATCTATCTCTTAATCTAAAATAAGGTTCTTTCCCCTGTATGACCCTGGAAAGTCCTATGGTAAATCAGATTCCAACTTGACCAGTTTAAAAACCTGATGGGGAAAATAAAAGTTACAGAGGCTTAATTTATGCAAGTTTAGTGGGGTAATATTTATATTTGAAAAAAGCAAAAGGCAGTGTGGGTAATAAAGGGAATGCAGAAATATATTTTATGAAAAATGGGGGGACAACTGATAAAATTTCATTTGTTACTCTTTTTTCACTAGAAGCTTTTTGAATCTGCTTTGATTTCTTTCACATGTTGAAAATTTGTTCTTTTTATTATAGATGTTAGTATAAACAAACATTTTTTTCTATCTCTAGTCCATAATACCTTGCTTTTTAAATATATTACAAATGTACTGAATTCTGCTTTTTGTGTCCCACTATTGTTTACCGAATATAAATTCCTTTGGATAGTGGGGTCAAAAAAAACTGAGTGTCCTTTATTTAATAAGCTTGGCATAGCTTAGGTTTAGAGAATACTTTCTAGGGCTCTAACCCATTAACATAATGCCAGAGATAAGATGGAAGCTCATTTTACCTTTGTCTTCACTTCCCTTTTCCAGTAGGTGTATGAATGGTTCCAAAGCCTTACAGAACCTCCCACACCTTCCTGTGTCTCTGCTTGCTCACACAATATCCCTTCTCACTGTCCTTTCCTTCCATTACCCTTCCCCCCCTTTTCCCCATTTATACCCTAAAGGACTGCCGGTTTGCAGATAACTGAATCAGAATTCCTGGAAATTTCAAAAGATGTACAGAAACATATCCACGTATGCTGTGATTTCAAGATAAGCTACGGGGAAAGATTATTGAATCTTTCCTCTAAATTTTTCTGTATTCTCCTGACCAAGAGTGAATTTATCATTGACCATGTCTAGGGGTATAGCAGTTTTTATATTGTTTATCTTTCTGGTAATAGATTCTGTTTTATATTTCTGCTTTGGTTGACAGATGCAAATGAAGCTGATGGAAATGAAAGATCTGGAAAATCATAATAATCAATTGAATTGGTGCAGTAGCCCACACAGTGTTCTTGTAAATGGTGCAACAGATTATTGTAGCCTCAGCACCAGCAGCAGCGAAGCAGCCAACCTTAATGAACCTGTTGAAGGCCAAAGCAACCTCGAGTCTGAGCCCATACACCAGGAATCGCCAGTGAGTCTATTAACTACAGAAAAAAAGTTTGATGTGAATCAAATTTTTGGCATCATGTCTAATAATAAATATGTTACCAGGCTTCATCTGAGGATGTTTCTGATTTCTTTTTTAAAGAAGATAAAGTAAATATTAATCCAGTAATTTTAACAGTTTTAACTAGTGTTAAAATGTAATTTTACCTGATTTATACTTTAAAGCCTGTTTAAAATATTTTCTATAGAAAAAAACTTTTTTTTCTTTTGAGATGAGATTTCACTGTGTTGCCTAGTCTGATCTTAGACTCCTGGGCTCAAGTGGTCGTCCTCCTGCCTCATCCTCCTATGTTGCTGGGCAATAGTCACTTGTCACTGCAACACAGCTAATAAGTTTTTGAGATTTTTAAGTAGCCAGAGGTATAGATAGCTTGTCTAGCATACAAGGCCCTGGTGTCAATCTTTAGCACCACAAAACAAAAACAAAAAAGCCAGGCATGTTGGCACATGCTGGACTTAGGAGTCTGAGGCAGGAGGATCATGAGTTTGAGACCAGCCTAGGCTTTGTAATGAATTCAAGACTGGCCTGGGCTGTGTAGCAAGACCTCATCTTTAAAAAAAGAAATTGAAGAATTTGAGAGAGCTCAAGAAGCAGTTTAATAAGATTTGAAGTCATTTTCTAACTGGGGATAGCCAAAAGGGAGATGGTTAAAGATGACCTGAAGGCTTCTGGCTTAGTGACTTTAATGCCATTTTCCTTTAAAAAAAAAAAAAATTATAGATATATAGATCTATAGATATCTATATCTATATCTATCTATCTATCTATATATATATATATGGAAGAAATTTAGTAAATCATTATGCTTCTTTTTCTTATTTTTAATACTTCTTTATTTTCCTATGTCACTTTCTTCCACTGAATAGAAAATGATATTTGTATTCTATGTAGTGTTAATATAAGCAGGGCTGAGGGTATTGCTTAATGGTAAAGTGCTTACCTAGCATGATTGAGATCCTGGCTTTGATTCCCAGCATCACCTATGCCAAATAATTGTGTTCGTGTGTGTGTGTGTGTGTGTGTGTGTGTGTGTGTGTGTGTGTGTGTGTGTTTCATTAGGCAAGAAGTACTCCTGAAATACCACCTTCTGATGTGACTGATGAAAATGAAGTTGTGACTGCAGCTGTTAATGAAAAAGTTTGTCCTGAAGTTGATAATGACAGACATGCAAAAGAGGTAAAAATAATTTTGTATGTAAATATTCTTTTTTTTTTGGTTTTTTGAGACAGGGTCTCACTATGTAGTTGAGACTGACCTGGATGGAACTCACTATGTAGTTCAGGCTGATCGCGAACTCACCGCAATCTTCCTGCCTCAGCCTCCCGAGTGATGGGATTACAGGCATGCGCTATATGTAAATATTCTTAGCCCTAATAGCTAAAGTGTTCTCTGTGGCTGCAAAAAGAACTTGTTCATTTTTCAAAGCATGAGTCTGATCTAAATGTTAGATTATCTTACTTTTAAATGTTACTTTTTAAGACTGGTTCCTAAATTTTTTTTCAATTTAAAACTATTTTTAGGAAGATCCGTTTAATGTAGAATCAAGTTCATTGACAGATCCAGTTGCAGATACAAACTTGGATTTTTTCCAGTCCGATCCTTTTGTTGGCAGTAAGTATCTTTTATATAAGTTTACCCAAAAAGGCTTTTTAATGTATAAACTATAAAAATTAGGGCTTCAATTTTGAGAATATACTTCTTACAACAAAAGTACAGGTTAGAGCATTATTTCTTTGGTGTGAGAAACTGAATGTAGAATAAGGGCTGAGATATATAATGGATGTTGGAAACGGGAAGAAAGTGTTAAATGGGAAAGGGAACAAGGTAGGAGGGAGGGAGGAAGAAAGCGACAAGGAAAAAGAAAATAGAAGGGAAAAATGGAAACAAATCTTTTGTACAAAGGGTGGGGAGGGGGCTTGATGAGGGAATGGGATAAAATAAAATTTATTTTTAAAAAGTACAGGTTAAAGTAAGAATTTATATTTTTTAATTTGCTAGTATTTATCCTGCACAAGCAACTAAATCCTAGGACTGAACCTTTGATTGTGCCTTAAGAACCTCTAATTAACAGTATGTTTCTCCTCAAGAAAAGGGACCAAATGAAAGAGATATTATAGACCAGAGATAGCGAACCTTTGAGAGATGAGAGCCTAGACTGCAACCCAAAACTCACTCACTTATTTATCGCAGAATGCCAACACTGCAATTAAACCTGAATACTGACGTTGTAGTTTAGAAAAAACAACTCATACGTTAACATCTTGTCTTAAAAACAACACACATGCCATAGGTTTGCCGCTGTTACAGACCATGACTAGAGATTGAACATACTGCAAATAGCAATGATGATAATGATAAAATGTATAATTTGATAGTTTTAGTATATTCAGTTTTATAATCATCTCTGCAATCTAATTTGGAAACCGTTTTTATCATCCTGTAAGGAAACACAACACCATACTTAATAACAGTAAGCCACTTTACTCTTAACACACAACATTGGACAATTAGTAATTTAAAATAGACGAAATGATTTAAACATTTCTCTAAGGTAAATATACAACTTACCAGTGAGCACATAGAAAGATATTCAGTAACATTATTCAGAAACACAATGAAATACCATTTCATACCTAGTAGGACGGCTGTAAGCAAAAGGTTAGTAATAACAAGTATTGGCAAGGATGTATAGAAATTGCAATCTCTGTAGACTTGTGGTAGGAATGTAAAATGATAAGTCTCTGGAAAAGTCTGTTCCTTCACCAGTTAAATCTAGAGTTACCGTGTGATCTTATATTCAGGAGAAATGAGAACATATCCCACAAAAAATACACACAGTGTTAAGCATCAGATTGTCATGCCCTTTTTATAATTCGGTTGTTTGTCTCTTTGTTGACATACAAGAACTCTACATATTCCAAATATAATTTGCCTGCCAAATATATAGTTTATAGATATTTCATTTGTGTTCTGTGTTCTTGATGTTCTGCTATCAAGTACAAAGTATTTAATTTTGGTTAAGTTCAATTTTTCTACTTTTTTTCTTCCATTATTTGTGCTTCTGGTATCATTTCTTTTTTTTTTTTTTTGGTACCGGGGATCGAACTTGGGTCCTTGCGCTTTCGACTTGCGAGGCAGGCCACCGAAACTGCTGAGCTAAATCCCCAGCCCCTCTGGTATCATTTCTGAGACACTTAATTCAGAGTGACATGGATTTACTCCTGATTTTCTTCTAAGTTTTATAGATTTAGCTGTTACATTTATATCTTTAGTTAACTTTTGTATATGACGTGAGTTACGAATCCTGTCTCAATAGCATTTGTTGAAAAGACGATACTTTTCCTGTTGTGTGTTCTTTGTACTCTTACCAAAAATCAAGTGACCATAAATATAATAACTTACAGCTGGGAATCTAGCTCATTGATTCCAGAGCCTGCTTTGCAAGCACAAGGACCTGAGTTTGATCCCGGGTACAAACAGCAACAACAACAACAAAAAAAAATTTACTTCTGGACTCTTTGGTTCAGATTTTTATTGTTGTGTTTTTTATTTTGCCTCAATGTAACTCAATATCTTCATTGCTGTTACAGTATTACCAATTCAGTAATCTCATAAAAAGTAGACATTTTTTAAGTACAATTTTTGCTGTTGTACCTGTCTTCCCCTCTCTTTGTAACCTTTATTTGTGATCAAGGTAAGTATTGTTGGTTCTATTTCACATTTGCCTCTTTTATAAAGTGGGTTGAGTTCAGCCTTTATTCTTTATTATTTTAAATATCCTGAGTTAGTGGGTCACATTCATAATTTTGCTTTGAGGTGGAGTTACTGAAACTGACTTTAGAACATTTGTTTTGTTGTTTATTTGGTTTTTGAGACAGGGTCTTGCTCTGTAGTCCAGGCATTGAACTCAGAGCTGTCATCCTGCCTCATATAAATTTTATTTTGATTTTGGTTTAAAGTTACCTTTTAGGTAATGCTATAACAGTAAATATTGTTATTTTGATTTCTGCTTATCCAGGTGATCCTTTCAAGGACGATCCTTTTGGGAAAATTGGTCAGTATTTTATAAATTTTCCATCTTGGCTTTAATTTGTTTTTGTTTTTTGTTTTCTGAGACAGGGTCTCACTATGTAGTTGAGTCTGAACTGGAACTCACTATGTAGCCCAGGCTGGCCTCGAACTCACAGTGATCCTCCTGCCTCAGCCTCCCAAGTGCTGGGATCACAGGCGTGCGCCACCACGCCCGGCTTTGGCTTTAATTTGATTGTGCTTATGTGGCAGTTAGGAATGAGACATCACAAGTTGGGAAGTTATAGGAAGTAGGTTTCCTTTTTAGTTTTTAAACTGCTCTAAAACCATAGTGTGATGCTTTCTGTGCCTGGCAGCTTTAAAAAAGGGTGGCAGATTCTTGTGAATTCACATAATAAACTATTAGCTTTACTTTTTTTTGTTGTTGTGTTGGTACTGGAGGTTGAACCCCAGAGCTTCATGCATCCTAGAGAAATGGTCTACCACTCAGCTGCTTGGGAGACGGAGGCAGGAGAATCACAAGTATGGAGAGACCTTGTCTCACAAACAGAAAGCACTCCGTCATTGAGCTGAACCCCAGCCCAAGCATTACTTTTATAAAAAGTAATATTGCTTTCAGTAATATTGATTCTAATTTCTCCTTATTAGCTAACAGGTGAGAATAATCTGTGTATTACTACAGACTTAGAATTTTATTTTTCTAAGATTGCAGTCTACAAGCGAAGGAAAAGGAAACATCTTGAAGAATTAGAAGATGCTGGGCTTTTTTTTTTTTTTTTTTTTTTTTTTTTTTTTTTTTTAATTGTTGTTAATAGGGATTGAACTCAGGACCTTGTGCTTGCCTGGCAGGCACTGTACCACTGAGCTATATCCCTGGCTCAAATGCTGGGCTTTTAAAGATAGTTTTTTCTGAGATTTTTCATTAGAATAAAGCAGATCTTGTGTACTGTTTCGTTTTGCTTCCCAAACTTGTTCCAAAATGAGAAAATTTTTGTTGTGTTTTTTTTTTTTTCTCATTGAATTTATTGGTACATTTTAGGTATACAGTACAGTTACATTCATTATTGGGATCTTGTACCTTTATATGACAGGTCTTGCTTCTCACTTTTTCCCCTTGTCCCTGCCCTCCCTTCACCCCCTCCTGCCCTCCCCATTTACAAACACTCTATTTCCATTTTTTCATTTTCTCATATTTTTTTCTTTTCCCTTATTACCTTTCCCCTACCCTTCCCACTTTCCTACACCTTTAGCCCTTTTCTTCCTATTTCACATTTTTGTTGTTTTCTTTACTTACGGTACAATAGAATACAGGCACTTAAAATTGAATCCCTGGGGCTGAGGGTGTATGTAGTTCAGTGGTAGAAATCTTGCATACATAGCATGTACCAGGCCCTGGGTTTGATCCCCAGGGATATAGATCCCTTGAAGTTATGTGCTAATTTAAAAAAATAAGTTCAGTAAAAGTGAAAGGTTATGTATCTTTTATCAAAATTACAGAGGAATCTGTGAAATAAAAAGATTCTGTAGGGCCAGGGGTTTAGCTCATTGGTGCCGCTGAGGCCTGCCTTAAAAGTGCAAGGATCCGAGTTTGATCCCTGGTACCAAAAAAAAAAAAAGATTCTGTGAATTCAAAATGCCTTCAGGTGATAAGCAATTTAATGGAATAATTTTTTAGTCTTTTACATTTGTGCTTTATTTTTTTAGACCCATTTGGTGGTGATCCTTTCAAAGGTTCAGATCCATTTGCATCTGACTGTTTCTTCAAGCAATCTTCTACTGACCCTTTTGCCACTTCAGGTACTGACCCTTTCAGTACACCCAGCAACAGCAATAATGAATTGGTAAGTAAGAGGATGGAAACTATTAAGTTGAATGGACAATAAGTGGCCTAAGTGAATTTTCTTGAAATACCCAGTGATGAAAGAATCCTCCCTTATATTAGTTCTAATAAGTCATATAAAAATTTCTGTCTCATCAGAACCCATCTAGGTTTTGTTGAAGGCTGGTATTTCATGGTTTGATCACCCACTGGAATTGACTAGAATGACTTAAAATATCAAAAAATAAAATCCATCCTTTAAGGTATCAAATTTGTATCTCATTGGGGACATTAAAAAGAACTAATTGGAAACCCTTAAGCCAGTCTTAATTAAAGTTTTCAGAAATATTTGCTATATTATTAAAAGAATGAAAATGACTTTAAAAGAAACAGCATTGATGCTTTAGAAAAATAAAATCATTTGTGTTATTTTCTAGACATATCTGGAATGTTACTCTTGTAAAGAAGTACACATTACCTACCACTAAATGTCAGGTTCTCTTGAGTGCTACATATATACCTACAATAGTTAATATTCAGTAAACCACATACTGTGATTCAGCTATCAATGAAGTGCTTTGTTAATCTGGAAGCTTTAGGAAAAATACTCTGTACTATGGATATTTGAAAATACTTCAAATAGAGTAATGTAATAAAATATTTCAACAAACCTCTATGTATACACTCAATTTTCATAGTTCTGAATGGTTTAGTTGTTTATTTATCATTTTTGAGGTAGTAGTTTCATGTCTATAAGTAAAAGTACACAGTTAATTGGCAGACATTTGAAATAAAATTTTTGTCTTTTAATATTCTTAGATTAAGAATCTTTCCTTTAGGCCTGGTGTGGTGGTGCATGCCTGTAATCCCAGCACTCGGGAGGCTGAGGCAGGAGAATCTCTGTGAGTTTGAGACCAGCCTGGGCTACACAGTGTGTTCCAGAGCAGTCTGAACTACATAGTGAGACCTAAAAAAAAAAAAAAAAAAAAAAAAAAAAAAAAAAATCTTTCCTTTTTTAAAGAGAAATTCATTGTTTTTGGTAGACAAATTATTTCCTTACTGTATTCAATAAAGAACTACTTGGCCAACAACTGGTATTTTCCATTGATGTAAAACTGGACAGCTATCTCTGTAACTAAATATTTGTGGTTTCCACAGGCTTCTAGATACTTTGTTTTCCTGCAATACTTAGTTTGCACTGTGGACTCGTTTGCCAAATTCTTCTAAAATTAACTACAATTGTAATTGTCCTCTTACCTTATTCTACCCTCTCATTCTTCATTCTGATCATTAAAAAAAATAAGAAAGCCAGATCAACTCTTCCTAATTTAAGAATAACAAATTCCTCTTCTTTTCCCACTGAGATTTTTCTAGCATATGTTCCACTTTTTCTTCTTTTCTCCTGTTTTCAAAAGAAGTACTGTCCTTTCTGACGTCTGTCCATTAAAAACAAAACAAAACCCCAAATTATTAATACAATAATACCAGTAGCTGATCTCTTCTCCATCCACAGATAGTGCTAATTTCTTTTGTGTATGCTTCATTTAATTTATATAATAATCCTGTAGGGTTCATATTACTCCCACTTTTAAGATAAAGTAAATGAGGTTTAAGGAATTTAAGTTAGTAGTGCTGATTCTGTCCAAATATGACTCTCTCCCCAAAATCTTTACAGGTTCTTCAAAGTTTAGCTTCTGTTCTCTCAAGGACATAATTTTAACAGGGCAAAAGCACAAAAACAAACAAATGAAAAACCTGGCCATTTCCTACTAGTATGTAATAGCATTGTGCAGGTGCTAAGTGACCCCCCCCGACAGGGGGCGGTGTTCACTGCCAATGTAAGAGAGAATTTTCGTGATAAATTAGATGACCTTGTAGGAGGATTTTGGAACGTTAGTTCTGTAAAATTTGACCACTTGATGAATTTTAGTTATGAAAACTGCTTTTGCATGCTAAATTGCCTGATTATCAAACTGAACATAACAGAGTTTTATGGCCACTTATTCTCCCATGGACTGCATACTCTGTCTTGTTCCTCTTGCTAACCCAGTGTCCCATTCAGGTTGGTTGCACAGTGTATGGTAAAGGAACAGAAGTTAAAACTGATAACCATTTAGGCTTGTGTGTGTGTGTGTGTGTGTGTGTGTGTGTGTGTGTGTGTGTGTGTGTGTGATGGGAAATCACATCTGCAGGCTCTTGCTGAAAACAAGACATGTTTTTCCTTCTTTAAATCAAGAGATGCAGCAGTAGCGGTTGTGAGCAATTTGTGTCAGTGACTTTCTCAAACCAGGATTTCAACTATGATATTAGGAAACATGGAAGGCTACCTCACTATATAGATAATTTTTCTACTTATTAAATTATTATTTAGCAGAAATAATCTAAGCAGGAGTGCTAGTTTTATAAGATTAACATTGGTAGGCCGGGCGTGGTGGCACACGCCTGTAATCCCAGCACTCAGGAGGCTGAGGCACGAGGATCACTGTGAGTTCGAGACCAGCCTGGGCTACATAGTGAGTTCCAGATCAGTCTCTACATAATGAGACCCTGTCTCAAAAAACCAAAAAATAAAAAATAATAAAAAATAACATTGGTAGTTAAAATAAGTACCATCATTTTATTTCTAAAAATTCCATTAGTACAGTATTTACTTTTTATTAGTAGTTTTAATGGGTTCTCTTTTATAAAGAGTATAAGCTGTAGCTAGCTTTATCCTTCTATTCAGTTAGATTTGTTTTACTTGGAAATTTATAAATTGAGCTCTGGCAATATCCTTTGACATTTGGTTGTAGTACCCAACTTCTTGATTGTTGGAAATAGAACCTGAAATACAGGTGTCATTGATAGTCATGATGAGAATTGGATGGACATATTTGAAAACACTTTTTACACTCATCAGTTAACTGCCTACATGGCATTTTACTAGCCTTTTAAGAGCCTGGTGTCAGAAAAAAATTAATTTATCTTTCTGAATATATTACAGAGGAAGCAAAATTTTTCTTCTATTCTAAAACTCCATAGTGGATGATGGACAAGACTGCAGCCATTTTCCCTAGAATCATGGAATGAATTAAGTTTTGAACTGAGCCACCACTATAATAACAGGCTGGCAAGGCTGTGTATAAAAGGAACCCTTGTACATTTCTGGTGGGAATGTATACTAGTATAACTATCATGGAAATCAGTATGGAGATTCTTCAAAAAACTAAAAATAGAAATTCTACTCAACCCAGCTATTCTTCTTTTAGGCATCTTTCTAAAAGAGTTAAAGACGTCATATTTCTGAGTGTGGTGCTGCTGCACGCCTATAAACCCAGCACTGAGGAGGCTGAGACAGAATATCAAAGCAAGTTCAAGACCATCCTGGGCTACATAATGAGTTCAAGGACTGCCTGAACGGCATAGTGAGACCCTGTTGAAAGAAAGAAAAAGACAGACAGACAGACTATATATTACAGTAATACATGCATACCAGCATTTATAGAAGCTCAATTTATAATAGCTAAATCTTATCAACAGACAAAAGGATAAACAAAATGTGATATTCGTATATAATGGAATACTACTTGGCTATAAAGGATAGATTTAAGTAATTTGTAGAAAAATAGATGCAACTTAAATGAAATAAATCAGACACATAAGCTTAAATACTATATAGTGTCTCTCATATGAGAAATCCAAAATGTAAATAAAATAAAGAACAAAATGACAGATAAAAGGAAACAGGTAGATCTTTTGCCACTGAGCAGGGGACCAAGAGATGGAGGGTAAAGTGAGGGAGATGTGGAAAGAATTGAGATGTCTTCTGTACACCTACCACCTACCTACAAGGAATGTGATCATTGGATTTTTGGAGAGAGGTACATGAAGCCTCCTGAGATGTTGGCAGCATTGTGGGAGATGATTACCTAGGTTTTCACATGACATTTGTTAAACTATACATATTTTATGCACCCTTTGGAATGAGTGTTATATTTTACAGTTTTAAAAGATTTTTAAAAGTGTTATTTCCATTTCGTAAGACTGCAATTTCATAGGATAACATATTTGTTCCTAATGTTTGTGTTCCTTAATTTAGAATTCATAAAGAATATTTTCTTGAGAGTGACAAGTGATATTTCCACCTATGAAATGTTGCTTTTCAGTCATGGATTTGTGTAACTTGTTTAGGTAGAAACATTGAAGCACAATGATCCCTTTGCTCCTGGTGGAACAGTTGTTATTGCAGCAAGTGATTCAGGTAATGTAACCAATTTTACTGATTGTTAATCATTTTTCTTTTCTTTAAACTTTTTTCTCCAAATATTTTTGCCCTGTTCATTATACCCTTAAAATTACTGCATAATCATTCAAAGTATAATCTGCCAGCAATAATAGTGGCAGGTGATTATGTATCACCTTCTACTTTTATTCATTTTCTCATTTGTTGCTCATGTTTAGGATCTTTCTAGAATATATTCTGTATCCAGTGTCTGTAAAACCATAAAGAATTTCTGGCTTTATAAAAGGCGGTGTTGTTTGGCAGCTTCAAGGTCAGCATTCAGCTCAGGGATCTTGGCCTAAGTTGAAATATTCTCAGTGTTATTTTAGCATCCAGTTTTTTTACTCTATAGTGTCTGATTTTTCATTTATTCTTATAATCTTTTAAGTAATATTCCTATTTTAAACATCAGAAAGTGCAGACCAGATAATTAAGTTACTTGATGAAGATTATACAGTTCACTAGATTCAAACTAGGTAAACCAGTTTACTAGATTCAGATTTAGGTCTGTTGGGAGTCAAAGTTTTTTTTCAACTAGGCAACTCTGCTTTTTCCCCACTATTCATTTAAAAGTAAAACACACACAGCTAGCAGTTGGAGAGTAGAAAATTAGAGGAAACTAAGCTCAAGCATGTAAATTCTTGAATATCATGCTCAAAGTGAAATGCTTTTTTTTTCCAGATTGCTGATTGTGACAAATTAAGAATTACAAGCATAGAAAGATTAGTAGAAATTCCTTAATTTGATGAGATTTAGCACAGTGTATTATGTATTTTCAGATTGGAAATTAAGTCCCAACATGAGTAGCAAGAGTGAGAAATGCAAAAGGCAGACATGTAGAAAACAAAATTTAATGTAATTCTACACTTGATCTTAGCCAAAAGGCCGAGAAGCGATAGATTTGATGTAATTCTGGGTATTGATTTAAACAGATGAGAATTCCAAAAGATTCGTAGTAATTATTGCCTTTAAATTTCTTAAAAAATATTTTTCATATCATCATCATCATTAAACTGATGAATTACTATATTGCTAGAGATAATGATTAGAAAGCATGACCTAAGAGAAAGGAAGGTTAATACATTTATAATTAACTCAATTGCCCACACTAAGATTGTGCTAAGTGCCCCAAGAATTAATTAAAGCTGCAAGATTTAGGAAGCGGGATCCACTAAGGGTAAGTGATTTCAAATCCAAACACAGCTTGTGTGATGCACCTTGAAAAAATGGGCTAGGATTATAGTGTGCAGGTATGGACAGAGAGGGTATGTGACACTGACAGAGCAACCTGAACAAGGAGTAGAGGCAAGACATGGTGTGTTCAAGGATACACAGAGATTTTGATCAAGAGCTAGTTTGTAGGTGGAGAAATAGTTACATTAGGTTAAGGCTGAGGTGGTAGTTCGCAGTCTTAGAGTACAAGGTTGCTAATTGCTAATGCCTTTGTTAGTCTTCTCTTAAATTACAGTTCCCAGTTCATTTCCTGTAAAATGATAGAATAAATGAAGTCCAGGAGGCTGCTGGGGGTTTGCTGTTGTGAATGAATTTATGCAGAGTTCAAACACTCAGTGTGCTAAGCATCTTCCTGTACTTAGTCTCATCCTCAAAGCAACCATGTGAGATACTAATTGACATGTTCACAGTGGGGCTGTAATTCATATGTCTCTGCTGCTGGGCAGCTTGAACCACCCGTGGTGTGCACATGACTGTCCCATGCACAACAGTACCACTTGGTATCAACTGCCCCATGTGACAGTCATGCATGTACCACCAGTGGTTCAAGCCAGTGGGAAGATGTTAATATTGTTTATTGTAAAGGTAAAAGAAATCAAACTATGGAAAGAAAATGTACTTTTCACAAAGTTGAAGTCATAGTAGGTAGACCTACACTCCATTGAGGTCTGTGGTTTTCCACTTGCCTTCCTGGTCATTCTTAGTCTCCTTTGCTGTGCTTTCCTCTTTTCCCAATATCTTAATGTTGTGTTATCATAGATCTTAGTTTCTGACCTTTCTTTTCCATTTATTCTCCCTTAGGAAACTTATTTGGTTTCATAACTTCAGTATGCTCAGTTTATACCATTAGCTATATCTCTTTCCTGAGCTCCAAACTTATATATCCAATCACTGGTTTGCGTTTCTACTTGAATATCTGATAGATATATCTAATACCTAATCTTCCTTCACAAACTTGTTTTTCTTGGAACATTCTCCATCTTTGTTCGTGGCAACTTCTTTGTGTGCTTATGTGTTATAGTACTGAGGATTAAACCCAGACTTTTTTCTGTTTGATTTTGTTTTTGAGACAGTCTTGCCAAATTGCTAAATTACCTAGGCCATACTCAAACTTGCAACTTTCTGCCTCAGCCAGTTCTGGGATTACAGCTGTGTGCCACTATGTTTAGCCACCTTCATCTTTATTGTTTTCCAGATTTAAAACCTTTAGAATCATCCTTGGAGTTTTTGTTTGTTATTTTTTGTGTAGGAGTCTATGTTTTGTTTTGTTTTTTTGTGTATGTATAGTACTGGGGATTGAACCAGGGCCTTGTGCATGCTGGTCAAGCACTTATACCCCTGGTACCATCCCTGATTCCTTTTTTTTTTTTTTTCGTAGTTTAGAATTTTGTATTTTATACAACTCATGATTGTTATGATAGTAAACCAGTAATACAATACACCAAATCTATGCCAATTCAGCTTGAATCTTTAGTATAAACACGTTCAACAAAGTCCTTTATATGCAATTTCTTTTCATCCCTGATTCTTTTTCTAGTTCTCTCTTTGAGTTATGTTTAATAAAAGCTTTATAGTGGCCTATTAATATAATACTAATGTTATATTATTAATCCCTTTGCTCACTTTCCTCCGCCACATGGGCCTTCTTGCTCTTCATCAAACTATCCACACAGTGATCTCTAACAAATCTTGGCTCAGATACTATCTTCTCAGTGAAGCTTATTCCAGCCACCACCCTAACATCTACGAGTGCCACTACCCAGCCCAGCACTCCCTAATTATCATTCTTTATTGCTTTTGCTGCTCTTTTGTCTCATTTTGGATGCTATTGGGAATTAAACCCAATGGCCACATCTCTTGCACCTTTTATTTTTTTGGTACCAGAGATCAAACTTGGGTCCTTGCGCTTGCAAGGCAGGCAGTGGAACCACTGAGCTAAATCCCTGGCCCTCTTGTACCTTTTATATTTTTATTTTGAGATAGGGTCTTGCCAAGTTTTCCCAACTGGCCTTGAGTGAATGAATGATCTTCCTGCTTCAGCCTTCCTATAGCTGGACTTGCAGGCATGCAGCACCACTCCAAGCTTCTATTGTCTTTTTTTTTTTTTACTAGTGAGTGCCCATTTTATTACCCATCAACTTGTCCCCAGCCTCCCAACACCATAGCCCGCAAAATCTGGACATTGTCTTTGCCCTGGCCAGTTCTGGCACTCACCCTCAATCTCCACCCCCATCTCCTCTCCTTCACACTCTCCCTTCCCTGGCCCTTCAAAGCAGCACCAGGCCCAGGGACCACACCTTACCTGGGGAAGGGAGGGGAGTCAGAGAGACAGGCAGAAGCTGAGGAAAGAGAAGTGGGAGATGGCCCCAAGCTTCTGGAGCTTGCACCTCAGGAAGGAGCCCACATAGGCAGGGTTGAGGCCAGGGTTGGGGTTGCCAGCAGCAGTTCAGGCAGAGGCTCTTCTCCAGGAGATGCAGGGAAGCCACTCAGGTCTCGGAAAATAATCTCAGTCACTTCCTCCAGCCTGATACCCTAGATAGGGACACTGTCTTAGAAGCCGCTGCTATAGCCACCGCTGGATTTCTCCTGCTCTGGGGAGAGAATGCTACTCTGGCCTTCTATTGCGTTTTTCATTTTGACATACTACTTTCCAGGAGACTGTAAATTCCTTTTTATCTGATGTTTCCTACTACTAAAATTTAAGCTCTGTGAGGAACTAGGACCTTTGTTTTCACTGATACCTTTCAGAAAACTTGCCCCTACCATATAATATTATTGAATAACTGATTGAGTCAACAGGTCTCTTCAAGAGAGCATTTAATAGCCAGTGAATAAGAATCTTTGGGGAGTAGTAAATTTTTTGTTGTTGTTTCTTATTTGGTTATTACTTATTTTTAATTTTGATATAGTGAATTTTTTTATTGCCTGTATTGATATCATAACCAAGAAAACATTGCTGTCCAGGGTCACGGAAATTTTTTGTGTGACTCTTCCCAATTATGTTGCTATCATTTTTTAATAGACTGTGGTATGAAATGATACATTTTGTAAGCCTCATGGTAACCATTGAACAAAAATATATAATCAAAATAATAAGCAAGAGATTAAAGCACCTCACTTAACCACAACAGAAGACTATAAGATAGTAAAAAAGGAGAGAACTAGCTGGGCATAGTGGCATATGCCTGTAGTGCCAGCACTCTGGGATACAGAGGCAGGAAGATCAAAAGTTCAAGCCCCTCCTGGGCAGCTTAGCAAGATCCTGGCTCAAAGTAAAACATTATAAAGGGCTATGGATGTAGCTCAGTGTCAAAGTCCTGGATTCAATACCCAGTACTTAGAGGTGGGAAGAGTACTTAGATTGGGAAGAGAAACTACAGTAAAATTCGAAAATAAAAAACAAGTTACAAAATAGCTGTAGTTTTTAAAGGCAAGAGTGGTGCTGCCACTCATAATCCCAGCCCTCTCAGAATGAAGCTAGAATATTGCAAATTTGAGCCAAGCCTGGGTAACTTAATGAAATCCTATCTCAAAATGAAATTTAAAAAGGGCTGATTGCAGGCATGGTGGTGCACACCTGTAATCCCAGCCCTCAGGAGGCTGAACTAGGAGGATCTCTGTGAGTTCAAAGCCACACAGTGAATTGAAGACCACCCTAAACTACATAGCAAGACCCTGTCTCCAAACAAACAAATAAATAAATAATAAAAAGGCTGAGGATGTAGCTCAGTGAAAAGGCCCTGGCA